ATGTTGATATGTGTACATTTTGTGATGCTGTTGGATACGGTATAAATACTATGACATAGTATGATATACTGATATACTATGATATTGTAGTATATACTATGATTATGTATGATATACTATGATGTAGTATGATATACTATGATGTAGTATGATATACTGTACTATGATACAGCACAATGTATCATGATATAGTATGATTATATTTAAATAGCAGCATTATACATTTAATATAAAAGTAATGTGATAGAATTGTATAGTAGGTATTTCATAAGTTTTAATGATAATGGTGCATTGTATATTAGTTATAGAGAGAGAGATCCGTTCCCGTAATCATCAACACATCCAACAGAAACCCATTTTCATCATTCTATATACCAGTGTGAACTTTCCGGTATGGGTTGAACCTGGATGGTTTAGCGTTCGTTACTAATTGTTTGAAAGGAAGAAACAAAAACCTGGAGATCCGGGGTATATTTGGTCTACAGCAATCAGGCAGAAGAACAGAAACAATTTATGTGGTTCTAAGGTGACATTACATGTATATCATGTATTCCCACCTGCATTGGATGAGCTGCAGCAAAAATGCGGGCGCAAACAAAATTGGTACAAAAGAAAACACTCAGCAAGGTATGAATCAGTTTTCAACAGGATATTTCTCCACATGTGGGACGCTCAAGATCCACTACTTCCATCTACTTCCATATTCATTCCCCTCCTCTGTAACATAGTTCAAACCGCCAGCTGGCCCGGTTGTTGGAGTTTACAGCCACGCCTATTCGAGTTATGGAATTCACTTTGAGTCTTTAAGACACCTATTTCAAATCATTTCAATAATCAATTCAATAATCTAGTGCCAAGAAGAGTTAAGCCTTGGAACGAAGAAAACAATAATCCAGCAAACCCACCTGACAAAATTTGACAAAACCAGGCCTGGTGAGACCGCCACACAACCAAACCCCTTCAGCAAAACGTACAGCAGCAGGGTAGCAACGTGGTCGCAACAGTGCCTCAATAGGAAGTTTCGAAAAGAACAATAAAATGGTGACAATGGCGAGATGTACAAGGACAATCAAGGACACACAGGAAGTATTTCCAAAAGAACTTGTGGGAGACTGAAACGACTCAACAAATTGGTTGAAATCCACCAAGTGCGTCAATTCTCAGAAGGAAAACGCAAGTGATTTGGACTGTTTATTATAGCCATCGACCTTGGGGTTCCATACCGTGGTTTCCTAAAATAGGGTACCCGGGATTTTCGATTATAAACGCTCCATTTTGGGGGTGCTACCATTTATATAAAATTCATATCCATTTCTGGAAATCCCGTATCTTGAAATATCTTGAACGATGAACCATTGCGCCGATTTCTCAACATGGCACTGGCAAAGGGTGCCATCGGCCGTCTGAAGGTTCCGCAGCCTGAAGCTTCGGCAAAAGCGTGGTGTTCTACACTACCGGGTAGTTGATTCATCTGGCTTGTAGTATGCTATGAAGTTACTAAGTACAATATGTAAGTACAGGTGCATATAATATGTAAATATCTGTCATGTGTATACTATATATATATGTGTGTGTGTGTATGTATGTGTGAACATTTATATATATATATACACAAAAATATGCAGATACATGTAAAACTGTGAATTATATAATATAAATAAATATATATATATATATACTATATATATATATATAATCCTTCTACGAGTTTACCGGGTCAGGTTGGCTCACCTGATTTTCTAGGGAAAACATAGGTGAAAACAGATACTTGGACCCTAGAAAAACACAGCTGGAAAAAAAAAATACCACCTCACTAGAAAATCAGCACACACACAAAACGGCATTTTAGACCATGACATGCCAAAAATTTGGTAGAAAATTGAAACCTGATCCTTGGGTTCCGACGAAAAATGCGGAGCTTGATGTCATAATTATTTAGCATCAACATCTGAGCTATGATATTCTAGAACATTCATGTCCGGCCTCCTCCCCGCTCCCGAGATTCGGTTTTTTCGATTTTTTCGAAGTTTTCGATTCTTCGATCAGAGCGTCCTACAGCATGAGCCCTTCTCAGCCAATAGTTGCCATGAATTCAAATTCAGAAACAATCAAAAATATATCGATACATGTTGCTATATGATAAACTATGATATTTTCAAATATTTTAATATACGAGCTGGTATTTCATACTACCTCCGGGGCTTCGCAGCCTGGCCCGCCCCCACATTTAAATGTCGTTACCGTACAGCATGCTGCAACTCTGTACAAAACATACCGCCTCAGTTTCTTTCACTTCTTTCACTTCTTTCACTTCAGCAGTTTTTGGTCATAGAAGTTTCAAACAATGACTCAAAAGGAATGTGATTTTCTAGAAGTGACGCGCGCTGTTTTAAATCCAGTGCTTGATTTTCTAGAGGCCACAATTTTCCATACATGTGCCTCCCACATTTTCAAGACGCCTGCGTCCAGGTCCATGTTCGAAAACCATCGAAAACCTATA